TTTTCCCTTTTAATTATTTTTCTATATGAATTCCTTTTGTTATTTCACGATCATTTAATTTTTAGTGTTTTACAACTGCTGAATTAAGATGATTGTATTTAATTATGGTTAGTCTATATCCCATGTGCTCATTTACAAGTTTTTAATTTTCTGTTTGTTTACCTATATACAAGTATGTCACTGGAATTATACAATTACAGTTAAATTTATATACAGTACTAAATTATTCTGTTCTGAAATTAAATTTTATTTTGAGTGTGTTGTCAGAAATGTATCAAGCAATAAGTTAGTTGAGTATGATATGGATTATTTCTGTATTGTATTTTAGTGCTTAAAATGCAGGTGATTGAATGAATAGTGAAAAGTTGTACAAAAGCTTCACTTCTATAAACTTTTTATGTTACAGATGCTTCCAGTGCTGAAAGCCGCTGGAAAACACAGCGCGATCGTTATACGAGAGAGCGTAAAAAAGGTGGAAGACAGCAAAAGAACTGGAAGTGGTAGAGATGGATTATATGTATCGCAATGGTACTTATATAATGTCATTGATGGGTTTATGAGGCGCTGTCCACAAACAATTGAAGAGTAAGTATTTTAGGTTAAAAAAAAATACATTTTATGGATGAAGCAAGAATTTATATACTCAATTTTGTATAAATGCAGAACCATCAACAACGTATCACCGGTTTTAGCAGCAGAAGATCCACCAGAAGATATTCAGCCTTTTTATGCTGAGGCGGTAGTTTTCGTATCCCAGTGACAGTGAAGCATTTCTTTCTGGGTAAGCAGTCCAATAGTTATTCACTGATTGCCTTTTTACCTACTCCTGCTTTTTACCTGTTATAAGCCTTTATCAGCATGACAGTTACTAGTGGAAGCTTCAGAGAGCAGGTACTGTACATACATTCAGTCTGTACTATTCTAAAGCTTTGTTTGTATGAGATATTGTGATATATACATTTGTGATATATACTTTGTACTTTACAGCACTTCTTCACATTATTTAAGACATGGTAGAAAATCTGATCCACAAATGGAAGAACTATTAGCAGTATTTAAAATGTCTGCTGAAGCCATGCAGCAAGCAAATGCTGCAACACAAAAAACAAATCGCACATAAAACCGTTCTGCGAGTTTGATGAAAGTATGCTGGCCAAAATGAGCAGCAAAAATCGAAGAACGGCGATGAAAAGAATTCAGGACATTCTTTTTGAGATCGATGCTGTGAATGATGAAGAGAATTAGTAAATTAAATAAATTACATTCATCTATTAAATTCATTATGAAATTAATTTTGTTATATTAATAAATTTTTTTAAACCTATATTTGTTACAATGTCTTTAAAACACAACAGTAATAAAAATAATTCTTTATTGAACCTTAGTAATAAAAATATGGTTGTCTATTGCCTGTGGCAAGACCCAGTGGCACATAGATAGTCTGCTAATTTATTCCTCAATTTTCTTGCTTCAGTAGAGTACATGTTGCTTGTTACCTGTGTGCAACTTCTCATTTGATCAGCTGTTGCTCTCCACCTCCCTGGGATAAGGTTGCCATGTTCATGAATCACAATCTCCAGCATTAATGCAACAAGCTGACTCTCTTATAAGAAAATTGCGTAAGATGCAAGCTGCCAATACCATCTTTGTCGTGTTATCTTCACTGTATGTTAATGGTCGTTTGAAGATTCGAAAACGAGAACTTAAAATGCCGAAAGCATTTTCCACTACTCGACGAGCACGACAGTCTATAGTTATAGACTCGTTGTGATTGGCTAATAGCTGAGCGTGTGGGATATGGTCGCATCAAATTTCTTTTTAGTGGGAAAGCTTCATCACCAATGAAATAAAAAGGAAACATAATTTCTGAATTTGGCAAGTAATCGTCATTAGGCAAGTTTAATCTGCAGGTTTTCATCACTTGGCCAAACTGAACTTTTCTAAATATTCCTCCATCACTCTCGCTTCCATAGTGTCCATAGTCTATATACAAAAATTAATAATTGGCATCTGCCACTGCTGGCAACATATTACTAAATGTTCTTTTATAATTAAAGTTTAAACTTCCACTATTTTTTGGAAAAACCATCAACACGTTTTCCATCAAAGCTACCGCAGCAATGTGGCAATTGCCAAGCTTTTAAAAAATTTTCTGCGATACTTTCCATTCATTTGGTGTTGATGGAAATTGCATGCAGTCTGATTTTAAGTGAGTCCAAAGAGCATGGCAAGTTTCTGGAACAATTTTTGCTATTGTTTATCTTCCAACTCTAAAGGCAAATGACAAACTTCTGTACGTTTCCCCTGATGATAAAAATCTGGAAAAATACATGATAAAATGAACTTTTTAAACCAATTAAAACAGATTAAGCTAGTCAGTCATTAGCTCTAATCATATAAAATGTACCTTAAAGTTATTCCTAAGCGTTCTCTGGCTGAAATTGCTTCTCTAAAACATGTGTTTTGTTTGCTTATATAATTTTCCACTCGTTGTAATAACACTTCAAAGAGATCGGGTGTCATTCTTAAAAAACTGTCAACAAAATTCACGTTACTACTAATAAAACTTTTATGCATTATAAGATTTTGCTATAATTTTAATTTATTACTTACTCATAATAATATTCCTGGTCTTGAAAACGAAGTTCACGCATAAGTGTATTGTNTCATCAAATGTCACAGCACGCCACTGAAATATATGCCGTCTCCCGCAAATTCGTAGTGGCTTGCCCCTGTACATCATACTGTTTCTTTAACAATAGAGTCGTGCCGATCTTATACCTCCTTCCATAAAGGAAGTTTGAATTAAATTAACACGATTTTCGGTTTGCATCGAAAGGTCTTTTATAGTTACTGTAGGAATGCTGACCATATGGTTTTCATATTTAGTCAAACTTTTATTTATTTAACTTCTTTCTCGTGAATAAAAAAAACAGACAACCGGAAAACGCGCGGAAATTTATTTATTTTGGTTGCCATTTGAAAAAAATTGCAGCCCAAAAAGTTGTTCAATTTATTAATTTATGAAGACAAACAATAACACATCATTGAATGAAAACATAATGCAGTAAAATTATGGTATAAATGAATATAATTTTAACGGTACTAAATTCATCTAATATTTAGTACTTTAACACTTAGTGTCGTAATTAAATATAACTGAAAATAATCGACTTTTTAATTAAATCCTTATTTCTTATTTACAAAGATTTTAAAAGAATTTACGTCTTTAATTGAAAGAAATTAATAATTACGCACAAACCATCCATTTTAGCAAACTTCGCGCTAGCCAGACCTCCACCGTAATCCAGACGCAAACGCAAATAGGTCACGTGATTAAAAGTTTTTTGGCGAAGGTTTTTACACTAGTGGAGTCTTGGCCTTAGCCTATAGATAGAAAAAAAAATCACGGTTAATCCTCAAAGGATTTCATTACCGTGTATAACAGCCTTAAAAACGAGTTGAGCAGTGTTCAACTTTGGACGCGGATACGGCCGTAAAACGGTACCATTTACCAATCAGAAGTCAGTGAAATCTAGGTCATTGTGACACGGTGCGAAAATGGCGGAAAACGAGCTTTTGTGTACGTTCCCTCGTGGCTACTCTAGAATAGATCCGGAAAGATTTATCGAAAACATCCGAAAGTATTCGTGTATCTACGACAAGAAGTATCCCGATTATAATAATGGATGCCTAAAACACGCGATACGGACGGCTAAAGGAAAATCCTTCAATTCAGAGGAGTATATAATGAAAAAAAAACTAACCTTATAAGTGATGTATATTATCTTAATTAATAATACGATAATAAAAATTAATATATGAAAGTAAAGATATTATTTTTACTACATTTGTAATTATAGTACAGAAAAAACTCGTAGAATATAATCATTGTCTTTGTGAGGGACGAACAGACCCTTAATAAAGTGTTATTTTTAATTTTAATTATTGGAAACTTTAATCGGTTAAATTCGAGCGTTTTATCGAGTTAGGCTAAAAGCCATAAAAATTATTTCCCACGGAGTTTGTTCCTTGTTGAGTCCGATCCAGTTAGTCAGGGATGTGTCACCCGGAACTTTCGATGGAGTGCCTATATTGAACGCCAGACCCTTAACAACAACCACCTGACCTAATGGAAAAACCCAAGAGGAATAACAAGAGAAAAGGAAAAAGACCCCGAGGTCAGTCGTCATCCAAAGTCTCTCTACAAAAGTCGTCTTCAAACAGTCCGCCCAATAAAGTCGTCCTCCAGAATTAAAGTCGTGATTCAGAATTAAAACCGTGACCCAGGATTAACCCCGTGACCCAGGATGATACCCGAGAAAAAAAAATCGTCCCTGATTAAGCCTCTACACTCCTCCGTGCCTCCACACCAGTGAACGGAAAAGATTCGGAACTAGTGAAAAGAACAGTCCATCGACAAGGTATTTATCAACCCGCGATTCGTTGTAAACTCTCTCTCTCGACGGGCCTCTCTTGAATAGGGGAACTCTGACCGAATTTGACTATCTTTGTATTTCCTTTAGTTTCATTAAAATTGTTAATTGTTAGCAACCATGGAATCCGATTAAATTACTTCCTCGTCTCTCTCCTCACCTCTACTCCGAATATAATCGCTCACCCGTTACCGCTCGCGTGATGTAACGTTGCGATTTCCGAGTCCTGCGAGACTCGGTGGTGTCAGATTCAGGTCTCCTGACGTGGTGTCAAAGAGACACCGACCCTACGGTCACATCTTTATAACTTCGATAGTACCGTCGCCGTAAAAACTTCGCTAGCCGGACCTCGCAATCCAGACGCAAACGTAAATAGGTCACGTGATTAAAAGTTTTTTGGCGAAGGTTTTTACACTAGTGGAGTCTTGGCCTTAGCCTTAGTGTCGTAATTAAATATAACTGAAAATAATCAACTTTTTAATTAAATCCTTATTTCTTATTTACAAAGATTTTTAAAAAATTTACGTCTTTAATTGAAAGAAATTAATAATTACGCACAAACCATTTTAGCTATTTTGACTAAACAAAATGAATTTATTTCAGAGAATTAGGCATTATCCAGAAATTGAGTAGAAGAATTCTACAAATTACAAATAAAAATTTATATACCAACCAATTTTGTATATTGATATAATTATACCAATTTGTTATACATCAAATAAGAATTATAACGATCAGTTAAATGTAATTCTTCAATAAATTGTCAACGTGCAGAAGAAAATCCAATTACTTCAATTTAACATGTTTTTGAAGTCTCCAGGCATTTCTGATAATAAAAACAAATTAAAATCAGAATAATTTACATATAAACTAACCTTATAGTTACATATAACTTTACATATAAACTAACCTTAACCTTAACATATAACCTAATTTAAACTTTATATTTACGTACAGTACATAAGATAATTTATCATTTATTTATTAATATTAACAATGACGATTTCAGGTAATATTTGTCTAATTTAAAAAAAAAAAAAAAACTTGAATAGAGATTGAAGGAAAAGATTTTTAGTTTTTATGTTTTGTTAATTTAATGTAACATAGGGAAGGTATGGTGATCGACCGAATTTATTTATTTATTTATTGCTTTCTTATTGCATTTCTTCGTGTTTCCACTGTCCAGAAATTCAAAAAATGTAAAAATATTCTGTCCGTTTTTATGTCTGCTGGTTGTCTATCCGTGCGTCGACATAAATTTTGCATTATATGTACAGTGACCATATTTTTTGGGGGAAAATAAAGGACATATCGAAGAAAATCAAAAAATACCTTATAAAATTCATAAGTTTATAACATTTATTACGAAAATAGTAGCATACAACAATGCATACATTAAAATTTTAAACAATCTGAATTATTACACATACACACATTGTAAAAATTTAAATAACATTAATTTTGATACTTTTCAGTAGAATTAATTTTTTTTTATAGCGCCGTTTCACGCTTTAAAGTCATAAAATTCCATACAGTTCATTTGAAAGTTGTATTTGATGGAAATACATGCTTCTAATGTGCTTACTTTTAAATCAGTTTTTTCATTCGTCCACATATTATTCAGCAATGAAAATATTCGTTCAACGGGGGCATTAGATCCAGGGAGACAAAGAAAATTCTACGATTTTACAAATGTTTTTGAAAACAACTTCTTTTGCTGTAAAATGTTCAAAAATCTCAATCCACTGTTGATGGCAGGGCTGGTTATTCTTTTCGTTTGTGACATATTTTTTCATCGATCTTTTCGTTTGTGACATATTTTTTTTACACATGAAACTTCATCGAATAATTTACCATCGAGTATATTTACGGACCAATGATTCGAAATAAAGATATAGCTTTCCTCTACTTTCGCCCACAAAGAGATTTCACATAATGTGACCCATTCAAACACATCTATTTCAATAAAAACATGTCCCAATTATTTAGATAATCTATGCACGTTTGATAAAATGTGTACACAGCATCATTGAATTTTTTGGCTTGTATATTTTCTGATTTTTCTAATGCTAAAACCACTTTTCTAATAACAATAGGAAGAAACCCCTCATTTTTTCTTTCAACTAACTTCGGCTTTAATTAACAAGTGTATCATTCATCAACTAGAGAGTTAAAAAACTATCACAAAAATCCCCATAAGAGTGTCCACCCCCTGGTACTGTCAGTGGGTCGTTTGGTTGGCGACACACTGCACTACTGTGCTCTATGTAGCAATGCAACACTGGTCATGAAGGCGTATACAAAACTAACTTGTTCAATATATTATTAAAAAAATTTTTTTTAACTTTGCGTCAACTTTACAAAATAAAGGACAAAATGCCTATTTTAGAAAATAAATAAAGTTAAAGGACAGAACAGTGAAATAAAGGACTGTCCTCTTAAATAAAGGACGTATGGTCACTGTAATTATATGCCAACACTGCATAAACCAAAAATTTAGTGATTTGGTAGGTTTATTTGTATACATGGGACATTGAAGCTATTAAATTTTATTAGTCAAAAACCATTAGGTGCTGAAATAGAGGAGGTCGTTAACATATATCGAGTGTGGCTACATTTGATGAAAGGTTATTCGTTATCAGCATTTACAATTTTTACTTGCAACTCTCCTCAAAAATACGCCTTTTGCCTTCTATAATATTGCTTACGCAGACACAATGCAGTGACAATTTTCAAACACTAGGCAAATTTTTCATCTTTTTATTCAGTTGGGATTTTTTATTCTAAATTATGTAACAACGTAAAAATTATTTTAAAAAATAAAATCTCATAACAAATGGCGCAACACACAACTTCAGACCAGAAAACAGAAATTAATTTTTAATTTTTTTTCTTCAATTAAAAAAATAATATATTAAATATTTTTAGCAAAATTAATTGATGCTATCAACAAAAACATTTTAGTATTTAGAATAGTATCAATACAATAATCGTTATGCGTAAATAATTGTTAATTAGAACTATTTTAAGTGTAAGACATTTATATAAAACACAATTTATACATAGTGACTAATGACTATAATTATTATTAGTAAATTAGTGTGCAGTTAGAATCGAAATTGTACAAGTAATTTTAGCAGTATTTAATAGTTCTTATTCTTTCGTGTATTCAAAGAGCTAATGAAAACAAATCTTTTATTATACAGGATGATTACAATTAAACTAATCCTACCCAGAATCTGCTGCAGAATAATGGACACGTGTCGATGAAATTTGTATATGTGCTATTTATATCGTGGCCAATACATTTCTGGAAAGCAAAAATTATCTTAAAATTGCGTTGCTAGGAAAAAATACCGCGCTTCAAGAACAAAATCCATACGTCAATAAAGGAAAATGTCACAGTATTTTACACTTGAATTTACACGTCAGCTTATAATGACGTGATCAAATGTCGCACAAATTATTTCGATTTGAATACTGGCCTTCAGCCTTGCACCGTTACAGTCCTGTCAAACTGTTTTCTGTAATAATGTACAGTACATAATATTGTACTATATACTGTACTTGTTGTGAAGCGCTTTATTTTCTGCTAGAGATGAGAATTTGAACTAACTTTTCTTTCTCAGAAATCTATGTATCATGAAAAATTCAATGAGAACTTCCAAATATACATCCGGCAATTCGCAAAGTAGAATCTTCTTGGATTTTCCAATATAGACCACATACCTTCTCTCTAAAAATATAAATGCTTCTGTGGAATATCTTATTAGTCATATTGTCATATTAATTCATTCTATTATTTATGAATGTACTATTGGTTCAGCTGCCATAGCAAAAACCAGCCCATAACATAGATGATCTTCCGCTTTGCGCCCACCAGTGGTCGAGTGGATAAAACCACTGAAAACTGGTAGCTAGCTGGTCGTGAGTTCGCGCCTGGCCAATGAGTCGACCACGTGGAAATTTCGGATATGTTTTTCACGTTAGTAAAACCTAAAGAGGCCAGTTTTTTGCAGAAAGTTCTTCTGGGAGGTATTCCACCTCGGCAGGTCGCCATATGTCGCGCTGCCCTGTATAAGAATAAAACCAACTCTCCTCTTTGCCTGCGTTAAGAAAATATTTCATGTTCCTTTCCAAGATTGTGACAATACCACTATAATCCATCAAAACCAACCTTAGAATCTTACATCACAATATTAAATTAAAATGCAAGTGAGCCTGTAGTAATTCAACAATTCTACAAATGCTTTAGTTATTACACAATAATTAACCTAATAATTATTCAATAAATTTTATATAAAGGAATTTATCGTGTTGAACTTACTGCGATAATCAGATAAACCTTTGGATTGGTAATACTGAAGGTCTTTTGAGCTGAACTGTGACATTTCAGAAATTCGCCAAACACCTATTAATAGAAATACCATAAATTATTGAAATAAATAATAAGAATACAATGTTTAGAAATACAAATGAATTACTTCTGGAGAGGCCTCTGTGAGTTTGCAAACGAACTCAGTTAACTCGTCTGTTGTAGAAAAAAACTGCAGTCCTTGAGCACAGTTTTTAGCGAAATCCAGAACCTAAATATTAAATAAAGTAATAAAAGTTTTATTTAGCAAATTTATTTTAAAATAAAACGTTTGCAAATGTTTAAAGGCTTACAGTTTGCAATCCATTTTCAATCAAGCAAAATCGAAAGTCTCTTTTTTCGGTACAACTCAGTCCTAATTAAAATAATAATTAGAAACATAAAAAATAAATATATTTTCATTAAATCTCATCTCGACGTCCATAAGCATAAACACAAGATTGTAAGGCTACGTCCTACGTGGCAGCATCCAACGACCGCGGGCGTGAACGCGCTTCCAAGCAGAGCGGACAAATCGGTTCAAGCAAATGTGCGTGTCCGGAGTAACCGCGTTTAGCGTGTAGCGACCACCAGATGACGCTTTTACACGCGGGCAGGAAGCAGCTACCAAACCAATTTGATCGCCGCTTCCAACGAAGAAAATGGCTGATTTTGAAGATGAATGTAAACAGAATGACAAATAAATTGTGTATATATGTTGTATGTACTTTAATTAATAATCTTTTACGCAATTTCATAATTTCTGATTTTGTTAAAAAAATTAAAACTTTTTTTAACTGATTATTCTATAAATATTCTTTATATTTGTTGTGTATCTAGTTAGTGATAACAATTAAATGTCAAATTTACCGTTTTAATGCTTGTCATCTTTTCCATAGTAACATTCGAAGAAGTCTTCTCGCTGCCATCTTGTAAACAACACGCGTCCACTCTGAACAGAAGTCGCTCGCGAGTTGGAAACGTGTACAAAGATTCTTTCCGCCCGCGGTCGCTGGACGCTGCACGTAGGACGTATCCTAAGGATAATTAATGAGTAAAACATGAAAATATGTAAAGAAAGTGGTGCATTATAGCTTCATGGGCTCCAAGCAAATTTGAATTACAGTGACCCATGCATAGTGTTGACTGCAGATATTTACTTTCGGGAAATTTTTTTTATAAAAAACTGTTTTAGAAATCCCTGTTTGTGGTATACCATAGGGCATGCGATTGCCCTTTTTGCCCATAGGATAACGCGCCACTGGCAAGTTAATCATGTTAACCACTTACCACAATACATATCCATGGTCTTTGAAAGGTCTTTCAATGGATCTAGAGGAATAACGTTCGGATCTATGGGAATAACGTTCGGATCTATGGGAATAACATTCGGATCTACAGGAATAACATCCAAAATTCCAATAGAATTGGTTGGAGAAAGAACAATAGCAAATATGAATAACATTAGTAATGGTGTCATATCCATTGATGTTTTCATTTCGTGTGGTAGATAGATATATATATGTTATATCACGTGACTTCTGATATGTTACCAGGAAAATTAAAATTTATTAATACCTGAAAAAGTAAGAAATATTTAAGTATGAAATAAAGTAATTTACTTTTATATTCATTTATTACTTTCGCGACTGTTATATATAACAGAGAAAGACTATGGCGATCGGTTAAAAAATAACCCCTCAAGAATTTTACATTTTTGGACTCAAAACTTTCGAACGTGAAGAAATGCAAAACAATTCGGGGATTTTTTCTGTATGCATAAAGTATGTGTGTGTGAAGGGGGTACGGTTTTGTTCACTGTGTTTGAAGCTTAATAACTCTTGTGCTTTTGGTCAAAAATTTCTAAAATTTGCAGGGCGGTTTGTTTGTTAGCTGAATTGATGCTATTAAATTTTGTTGGTTAAAGGTCGACAGCGTGGGGAGATAAAGGGAAATCGTCTGTCATATCCTGAGTATGGTTGAACTTAATTACGATTTTACTTGTTATTGGCATTTACAATTGTTTAAATAATCTATCGCAGTCTAAAAATAATTTTTTTGCCTATTTATAATAATTAAAAATATAACTAGGTTTTAATAATAAAATCTCATATCAGATGGCGCAGCACGCGCAGTTTTAAATGTTGTCAGGGGAAGTTAAGCAACTTGTTGTTGCATTTTTAAGTGAGATATTGTTTTTTTTTTTAATCAATAACCCGTACTTTTGGTGTTTAATCCAAAATAATATTTGTTGTAAAGTCAATTCTAGGACCATCATTTACGAGACTTTATTGAAAACAATTTTCATATTGTTAAATTTTCTTAGAAGGGAAAAGACTTATATTTGGAGTAGGAATAATTTTTTAAAGAAAGTATAAATGCTAATAAGTAGTGAAATTTTCATTAATTTTGACCTCACTGGAGATGACACGTGACCTCTTCTATCTCCCCACCCATCGACCCTCTTGACTGTCAAAATTTTCTAGCATAAATGCCCAACGGTTACAAATAATCGTGCCAAGTTTTAAAATTTTTGGCTTATCCAGTCCCAAGATGTAATGCAAAATACATGCTGACACACACTCCTACAAGATATTTTATAATAGTTTTACATTTTGGGTTCATGGATTTTGATGTAATTAGCTTAAGAGCTTTATATAATAGATTAAGTTAATTGATAACTAACGTTATCTGATATATAAAATTTTATTATAATTAATTTAACAACCGGAAAATAAATATTTTACTGTATTAAGATTTGTATTTGATTAAGATTTATCTTGACAAAAAAGTAATATTATTAAAAGTAAATGTTTCTATGCGATACATTTGCAAATGAGAATGAGTAAAAGCAAATAATTGCTCTCTAATTGAATGATAAAATATGCTCTTTCTCGGGAGTGTCCGTACATTGAAACACTTCAGGCACATGTCTCTTTTTCTTATCCCTAATGGGGCTCCAAATTCCATCAGAAAATTCATTACTTCTAGTCTATTTTGCAAATATAAAAGAAACTGATAAACGATATTTGTCAACTGTTCCATGCATTGTCGTAAGTTGGTCAAAACTTGGCCTTGAAAAAACGGAAGATTCCTTGTTCTCGAGGCCAAGTTAGCCCCACATTTCATCTTGTGAGAGTGCTGATGCCGCTTTGAAGTTTATTTTATAATGTGTAATTTTTTAATAGCTTGTGCCCCCTTTTATATAGTCTGCGGGCGCCTCTGTATTTTATTTATATTTTTATGGCGAAGAAAGATGAACAGAGAACTTACCTTGTTATATCTGCCAAACTTTAGGTTTTGTAACGTTAACTTCTTACGCGTCGTTACAGTAAATCTGTTTAAAAATCCGTGAGGTCGTGTGTTCCATTTCCATTTATATACTACTTCACATGAAAACACCAGCTGCAGCGTGTTGTCAACATTTTTAATATTTCCACGAAGATCAATAATATTAATTATGCTTCCATATATTTAATATTCTAAAACATCTTCGGATCATCTTCATAATAGCATTAATTGTTGTTAGTATTTTTATATTGTTTTGTCTTAATTTAAGAAATTAAGTTAAAGGACAGAATAAAACAATTTAAAGTTAAATTTTACATTAACTTTTATTTTTCTTTAATGTAGATTTAGGGAAAAAATGGAAACGTTATTGTTAAAATAAGAGTTTTAAAACAAAAATATTAGACGTTTTTGAAAATAACTTCTGAGAAAATAAAATCGGTCTTCGTGGAAATATTAAAAATGTTGACAACACGCTGCAGCTGGTGTTTCCATGTGAAGTAGTATATAAATGGAAATGGAACACACGACCTCACGGATTTTTAAACAGATTTACTGTAACGACGCGTAAGAAGTTAACGTTACAAAACCTAAAGTTTGGCAGATATAACAAGGTAAGTTCTCTGTTCATCTTTCTTCGCCATAAAAATATAAATAAAATACAGAGGCGCCCGCAGACTATATAAAAGGGGGCACAAGCTATTAAAAAATTACACATTATAAAATAAACTTCAAAGCGGCATCAGCACTCTCACAAGATGAAATGTGGGGCTAACTTGGCCTCGAGAACAAGGAATCTTCCGTTTTTTCAAGGCCAAGTTTTGACCAACTTACGACAATGCATGGAACAGTTGACAAATATCGTTTATCAGTTTCTTTTATATTTGCAAAATAGACTAGAAGTAATGAATTTTCTGATGGAATTTGGAGCCCCATTAGGGATAAGAAAAAGAGACATGTGCCTGAAGTGTTTCAATGTACGGACACTCCCGAGAAAGAGCATATTTTATCATTCAATTAGAGAGCAATTATTTGCTTTTACTCATTCTCATTTGCAAATGCATCGCATAGAAACATTTACTTTTAATAATATTACTTTTTTGTCAAGATAAATCTTAATCAAATACAAATCTTAATACAGTAAAATATTTATTTTCCGGTTGTTAAATTAATTATAATAAAATTTTATATATCAGATAACGTTAGTTATCAATTAACTTAATCTATTATATAAAGCTCTTAAGCTAATTACATCAAAATCCATGAACCCAAAACGTAAAACTATTATAAAATATCTTGTAGGAGTGTGTGTCAGCATGTATTTTGCATTACATCTTGGGACTGGATAAGCCAAAAATTTTAAAACTTGGCACGATTATTTGTAACCGTTGGGCATTTATGCTAGAAAATTTTGACAGTCAAGAGGGTCGATGGGTGGGGAGATAGAAGAGGTCACGTGTCATCTCCAGTGAGGTCAAAATTAATGAAAATTTCACTACTTATTAGCATTTATACTTTCTTTAAAAAATTATTCCTACTCCAAATATAAGTCTTTTCCCTTCTAAGAAAATTTAACAATATGAAAATTGTTTTCAATAAAGTCTCGTAAATGATGGTCCTAGAATTGACTTTACAACAAATATTATTTTGGATTAAACACCAAAAGTACGGGTTATTGATTAAAAAAAAAAACAATATCTCACTTAAAAATGCAACAACAAGTTGCTTAACTTCCCCTGACAACATTTAAAACTGCGCGTGCTGCGCCATCTGATATGAGATTTTATTATTAAAACCTAGTTATATTTTTAATTATTATAAATAGGCAAAAAAATTATTTTTAGACTGCGATAGATTATTTAAACAATTGTAAATGCCAATAACAAGTAAAATCGTAATTAAGTTCAACCATACTCAGGATATGACAGACGATTTCCCTTTATCTCCCCACGCTGTCGACCTTTAACCAACAAAATTTAATAGCATCAATTCAGCTAACAAACAAACCGCCCTGCAAATTTTAGAAATTTTTGACCAAAAGCACAAGAGTTATTAAGCTTCAAACACAGTGAACAAAACCGTACCCCCTTCACACACACATACTTTATGCATACAGAAAAAATCCCCGAATTGTTTTGCATTTCTTCACGTTCGAAAGTTTTGAGTC